ATCCATTGCTGTCTAAACCCCTCACTAAAGTTTGATTCACTATATGTTCTTTGGGGAAGTGTAAGAATTCATGCCACTCAGCTTAGTTTTCTAACCATTTTTTTAAAAACAAACTTGCACATTCTTAAGCACTAAGTTAAGAAATTTACATTATTGGACTTTGGACTCCCATCCAACAATGAGAGATGCACTCTCACCCTGAACTCTTGGGAGAGGGTACAGGTCCTGTCCTGGATGAAATGACAGAATATGGACAGCCCCATGGAGGGCCTCACCCTCCCTGGGGAAATGAGGGGATATTGGGGGGATTGGTGGGAGGGTACGGGAGGAGGGGAGGGAAATGGAGAGGGACCTGGAATTGACATGTGAAGCAACCTTGTTTCTAATTTAAATTTAAATTTAAAAATAAAAAATATCTAAAAAAAAGTCTTAAAACTCACAAAACCAGACTTTAACAGGCAACATAATTATTTTTCCTGAATATCACTATGTAACTTTAATAATAAATTAATGCATAATTTGTTCTAATGTATTTTAAAAACAGAACAAGTTACATTTTGTATCCCTGTGCTGGATATGTCAATTCTGAACTAAATTGAAATTATTAATTGAAGATTACCAAGTATACTTTTTGGAGAGTTAGTCTTATAATATGAATATGTCATCATAAATGTTATCAAGTGAATACGCATTATAAATCTATCTAAATAAAGTAATTCAGTATTAAAAAAAGAAATTTACATTATCTAACAACTTAGCAGGGTATAAATATTAATATTAACTAAGTATATTGAAACTTAGCCCTAAATATATTGAAATGCTGTTTCCCACAAGATAAACAAGGCGCATAAGGACTATATGACCATCATGGGGACTCTCATTGGTCCTGTTTAAACACAAATCCTTGTGGGTTCTGTTCAGTGATTACATCGCTGAAGAAAATGACATCTTCTCCTAACAACTGTTGATGGCTAATAGTTCCTTTTGGAGTAGTGGTGCTGCATAGGTCACTCCCACATCCATGATGGAATGTTGGTTGGCCTAATCATGTTTCAGTCTCCTACAGCCAATCACAGCTACATTGAGTTCATGAGTGCAATGGCTATGTCATGTTCAAACACTTCTTTTGCTAAGTATTTCACCATCCTCTGGCTCCTACAATCTTTCTACTGTCTCTTCCCCTGTGTTCCCTGAGTCTTGGAGGAGAGATAAAGCAGCCCCATTTAGAACAAAGATTTCTTTTGATTCTCCAGCTGACCACTTTGGAGATGAGTTTATTCTGCTTACTTTTCAGTTTGATGTTTGGATCATATTCGCATGGTCTTACTCAGTGGGAAAAATAAAATTTCCTTGCTTAAAGATTCTTACTTGAGCTGGGGAGATAGCTCAGCAGTGAAGAGAGCTTGCTGCTCTTCCAGAGGATCCAAGTTTGGCTCCTAGAATCCACATCAGATGACTTATACCAGGGCGCCTTACATGGCATGGCTTACATCTGATGGCCTGTGTGGATAACTGGTCCCATACCCAGTTAACATTGAAAACAATAAATTTGGGAACTAGGGAGAAGACTCAGTAGGCAAGAGCAGAAGACCCTGGCTTGGTTCATAGCACCAACATGGTGGCTCAAAACTAGGTAACTCCAGGTCCAGGGAGTCTAACTCCCTTTTGGCTTCCAAGAGCAAAGGACACCTGATACATAGACATACATGTAGACAAAATACTCAAATACATAAAAATGCTGCTTGTTGCTAAGATAAGATAACTGGTTAAAAGTATGTCTGGGGGAAAATACACATAGAATTGTGGATTTCCATAAGTGGATTCACAATTCCATTTGTATATACATAGATGATGCATTTGCCACTGTCCACTTGCCTAAGGTACATCTTCTGTTGTTAAGGAACAGAACAGCAGCTCAAAACATTTGTGTTTTGTCTCTTGAAGTGTCAGGGGTGCATGCTAAGGCAGGGTCTCTATCACTGCAAACTCCAACCCTCAGATGAAACAATATGATGAATCTGGATCATGCAAAATGATCCAATCTGTATTGGATTTCAGTGATTCTGGGAGATATATCTGGATTCACACAATCCACATGATGTTTAGGTTAGTGGAACTACAATGTGAGAACATTCTGTGTTCTTCAATATTTTACTTATTTCTTGGAAATTCAGTTTTTGGTCTTTTAGCATAGTTTTCTTCTAAACATATTTTAGAGAGATTGTCTTCCGACACACTTTTGGCTAGTGCTAAGCAATTTTTTCTTTCATTTTGGGGGTTATTAGGAATATTTAACACTTAATAAGGATATTTTCACATGCTAACCACCGTTTAAATACAGTGTTTTTTTCTGTATTTATTTAATGACAGGCAGTTGATAATATTTTCACATTCCATATGGGAAAATCAGTGATATTTGCTGCTTTTCTGTATAACTCACCCAAGCTAGCTGTGGCTTGTGCAAGAGATAACAACTCTCGACCTCCGTTCCCTCCAGCCTCAGAGCAGCAGTTCAGAACTGACAGCCGCAGCTTCTACACATTACTGTTTAATTTAACCAATGTGAGTCTCTTCGGTGGGGAAAGAATGGCTTGCTGACAGTATATCATTTTTTCATTGGGCTTTGGAGAGTAATTATGGTTGTTATACACATTTGGAAGCATGTCTATGTGGTTTTTGCTTAAAAGAAGGAATTAAGACCATGCAAAAATTATGTTTTTAAAATTCAAAATCAATTAAAAAATGTGACACTTAAGACCTTTCTGAGGACTCAGCACATTAAACATGTAAGCTGCATTAAAATGTGGAAAACATATAGCTTTCATTACCTAATTCTACAGCTGTCATTTGTTTCATTTTGGTATTAATGTAATTGTTGTGCTGAACATAACGGTATACATTTCCTTCACATTAAATTGGCACTCCAATTATAATCTACTTCAATTCAGATTAATCACACCAAGATGGCAATTCCATTACATGAAGAGTGAAATTTAATGACTTAATTTTATAAGGCTATAATTTCAATGACTGATAGTGTGTTTAGCTGCTTTAGGGGTTGTTATGAAAATTAAGCATAATGCATCTTAATTGGAACATTAGTGGAAAATATACATCATAAAATATGCGTGAACATGGTCTATGAGATGCTTCTTCATGAGCATTTAATTCTACTTTCAGGTTTCATTGGAGTGATACCGGCTAATCAGAAAGAAGTATAATTATAGATGCAATATGTTTTTATTTAGTTTCAACTTTGTTCTATTATTTAACATTAGTCAGAATGCAATGTTACAGACAGATATGCCTTAGACCAGATGGCAGATTCTGTTGTAGAGAGCAGATTGTTCACATAAAACAATACACAGTTTGAAACGTGTTTAGCCATAGAATACACATGAGGAATAATCTAAGCCAGTGACCTGTCACTTTTCTCTGTCTCAGATAAAACTTTAGTAGGTACAGAGTCAAGGACCCTGTCATCCTCCTCAGCACTAATCTGTCAAACTGGAGAAGGAGGGGTAATGTCTTCATATATTTAATTAAAGATGGTTTTTTGACCTTCAACCACCATCTTTTATGCAAAATTCTGCCACCTTTAGCTGATTTTTCCTAAATATTTTACAATAGTAATGTTATGATAAACAATTTATGTTTAATTGTTCTACATTAAAATGTGATATTTAATACATGTCCCATTTTTTACTTTTAATTTTTACTTCTGAAAAATCAAGTAATTTGGTACAAATGATTTACAAGTAACCACTGATTACTGAAATTTCTTGAAACTCATGAACAAAATTCCACATCCTAAAAAATTATATCCGATTCAGATTCAAGCAGGATAAATTGGAGAAAAATTGTACTTGAATATCTTCATTTATGTCTCTAGTAAAATTTACACTTTGGCTTGAATTTGAAAATTATATGATATCCTGTGTGCTCTACTGTGAATTTCTGAAGACTGGATCCCATGTTTTTTATGTCCATAACTCATATGAATCCTAGTATCTACATTAAAGTAATCTAGAAAGGCTTCAAACTATGAAATTACTTTTGCCATCTATGGAATGGATCAGTAAATAGCATTCCCCTATGTAAAAACAGTGCAACAGATATGCCTGTTAGTGTCTCTAGTGGATCTATCAGTTTCTCTGCTATATGGATCTACCAGTTAGTATGTTTTTAATCTCTCTTCTGTGTTACTCTTCTGAAGTCTGTGGTAAATCTGTGCCTACTGGTTCAGATTTCACAGTTTACAAACAGAATGTGTATAGGACCATAAGCAATTGGGTAAAAGGGGGCTGGGGAGGTGGAGGAACCAGGGAGGAGGGGTGGGAATGGGAGCTGAGATTAACATTTGAAGCATTCATGTTTCTAATTTAAATAAAAACATATTAAAAAACCAACAGCTTTCCAATGAAGAGGTATTTTATTTACTCCTAGCTATTTGTTAATAGCCATACTATAAAGTTCAGGGAAAAGGAGGTGGAATTCTGTGCCAAGATTTTCATATCAAATCTGTTTTTCCATCCATCCATCCATCCATCCATCCATCCATCCATCCATCCTTTTATTGGGGATTAAACCCAGAGTCTTGCACATGCTAGGGAAGCAAGTGTTCTACCACTGAGCTACATTCCCCATCCTATCTAATCTTTTTTATATCATCAACCTGGAATTTCTCACCTTTGACCCATTGCCAAAGGGGGAAAATGGAGAAGAAGACAGTGCCTTACTTGTTAGTATCTCCTTATATAGAGCAAAACTGAAAAATACTTAGATTCAGAAAGGAAGAATGTGAGAAAGTTCCAAATATCATTTGAATGCAATCAAAGTTTAGACTAACACTTGGCAATAGAGCCATCTCTAGCTGGAAGGCCCAGAGAGCTCTCTCCCCCCTTGGGAAGCCAGTTACACATAGCTTAGAGTCCACGAAAGCCACAGCAGTGAGACCCTGATAAGCCCCTTCAGAAGGAGGTTGCCCATACTGAACTTACGAGGGCTCTTCAGACACAGCAGCTCCTTCCTCTAGCTCCTGGGCTTGCTTGAACCATGGCAGCTTGGCTTCCACCGGGAGTTTCTCTGAGAATAATACAGTGGGAAGGGAGGAGGTTAGAAACTACCTGAATGTTCTTGGCAGTTATTCATGCTTAGCAGTTCCAGTTTTGCAGCACATGCAGAAGTCATGCTGATATTTGCAAATAATTGTTGTTGTGACAGAGAGCTGTCTCTGAGGACAGTTGCATTAAGAAGCCTGGACAGTGGTCTGCCCACATTCTTCTGCTCTCTGTGTCGGATTGCAAAGTCCTTTTATTATGAAAGCCCCTGTGCTAGAAGCACTGATGACAATCATATAGAGAATCAACAAAGCATCTAGGTTACACCTTTTAAAATAAGCACAAAGAAAAGCCAATGACACCATGGTATGTTTTAAATAATTGTTTTGCCTTTTGGCTAAGTGTGATACTATGTTGCGTTATGCATTATCAAAACCAAACAAACTACCATGCTGAAATTTGTAAAACATTGTTTTTAAAGTTCTTACTTATTCAATATCACCCCAAGGTTCAATAACAATGGAAACACGTGCAACTGAAGGTTCATAAACCATGATTGGATGTGTTTTAGCTATTCATCTAGGTCTGAGCAAACAACTTCTTAAGTGCTTCCTGGGGAGAATATGGAGGAGAGAAGGAACGAGGGGGGCTCTAACTGCCCCTATAGAAGTAACTGCCAAGATTCTCTTTTCTGACATATTTATTAAGGTCATTTATGGGCATATTTGCCTTTAAAGTATGAGCCAGTGAAGTTCTGTCACTGTTTTATAACATATAATTGCAAAGATGAAAGAAATATATCCACATTGCGTGCACCCTGGAGTTATGTAGTATTTAACGATGCTTGCAGAGTCAGGATCACTACTTAACTGTGAAAAGTCCAGATTTTATTCTTGAGAGTTAATTACAGACAAATTTTTCTCTCCTCCAACGCTGCTTGGTAAAGACAGAACTAATAAATAATTGGCTATTTTTAGTTGTGTTTTCACTACTTGTCTTCTATTTGCAGTTATTGCCTGTGGCTAAGAAATATAGTAAGACATGTGCAGCTGTCAAAGCCAAGATGATTGGCTCAAGGGTGTGGGGCACTAGCACACACATCATTTTAAAACCCCGCCATCCACCCCAGTTAATGGACAGTCAGTGCTAACAAAGTGTCCAGCGTGGCACCAATAGTAGTCTTGTAATACTCCACTATTGACTTGAATTCTGTGTCTGTGGCCATCCCATCTAATACATGAAGACAATAATGATGATCTGCTTAAAGGTAATGTCTGGAGGAAGCCTAGTATGTGGCAGGGAGCATATCAAGAAGCCTATTACACTGTAGCTCCTGTAACCCTCCCATGAACTCTCATATTTGTTTTAGTGTTTCCCCATTGTACAGGTGAACAAACTCAGAGAGAAATTATTAACAATAATCAGGATTTCTGGTATGTCTTTTTATTTTCCTTTTAGACTCTTAAGAGAGAGCTCACAGAGCTATTCATTCAAACAAGAAGTATAATGTAGTGCTACTTCATGGCTGCTTTCCATGGAAATATAATGTTTCAAAGAAACAATATGAAGAAAGAAATGGGAACCATCTTGGCACTAAAAGTTAGAATGATATCTCATATAGCAGTCAGACATACAAACGTGATTCTGAGTTTTCCAGTTTCATTGACACACCAACAAATGGGATCAATATTCACATTTATCTGAAAGATCCAGTATAATTATAATGTATCTTGCTTAAGAAGATTTTTTCCAAATTAAAAAAATTCAAACATTTCTGACACCTATTAAATTCAGATATATGTCCTAGTTCTATGTCAAATTATACATCTGAAATTCATGATATTATTTTAATTTTCAATATAGAAAGCAACAGTTTTCTGCTTTCTCAGTTTGAGGCCTGTGACTACACAGCATATGTCAGGCTCAGCAAAGTAGACATATTTGGATTCTTTCCTTGTTTTTAAAAGCAAGAAATGTGGACAGTAAATTACACACACACACACACACATACACAATATATATATGTATATGTATATGTATATATATAAATCTGGTCTCCCTTTATGAAGATGAATCCAATATTTTTCAGCAATGATTTTCTTTTCTTTTTTTTTTTTGCCGGTGTTGATCAGACTGTTTGGCTGATGGCTCATTAAAGCACTGTCTGCTACATAAGCATTCAGCAATGATTTTCAAACAGCTTTATGAGTTGGAAGACAAGTATATATATAAATTTCTTCATGTGCTACTTCATAACAGTTTTAGTCAAGCTCATTTGATCTGGCAATCAGCATGTTAAGTGAAATAAGCCAGAATCACAAAAACCAGTACAATGCATGCTTATTCTCATAATCAGTGCACACACACACACACACACACACACACACACACAGACACACAGACACCCCCCCCCCCACACACACGATACTGAAACACAGAGCGACTATTCTGGTGGAGAAAATGGACCAGTGACAGGGACAGGGAGGTGCTGTGGTAAATGCAAATTACAATGATATATACACACACACATAAACACACACGTGTGCATATACTTATATGAATATATAGGAATAATACATATATGAATGAAAATGCCATAATGAAACCATTATTTTGCTTAAAAACTAAAAATGTTGTAAAATAAAACAAAAACCCCATCTGAAAATATTAAGGGAATCAAGTCTATTTAATATAGTCTGCATTATAAAGAATCATTGCTAAGACTATTTGGGATATTAGAAAACAATCCAAGGAGATTTGAGATGCCTGAGTGTCCATTATCTTGGAGGAAGGGTGAAGGGTCCCCATACAGTTACCTCTGGGCTTGTAGCAGGGCGTGGGTATGATGCATTCTTCTTTTATGTGGGGCTTTGTTTTCGCACTGCAGCCTCCTGTATGCATTCCTCGGTGGTCAATGCAGAGGACCACGCGGTACCGGAGGCCCTGGCCACATGTCACTGTGCACTGGGAAGAGATGATGAGAGAGAGAGAGATAGAGAGAGAGAGAGAGAGAGAGAGAGAGAGAGAGAGAGAGAGAGAGAGAGAGAGAAGACTCATAGGCAAAGCCCGATTTACTTATTTAACGTCCCACCCAAGATTTAAATAAGTATACTTCTTAAAAAAATAAGGGAGAGGGACTTGGAACTGACTTGTGAAGCAACCTTGTTTCTTATCTAAATTTAAACTGAAAAATAAATTAAAAAAAAGAATTCCATTTACACATGGAAGCTCACAATCATCTATAAAAAAAAATAAAGTTTCACACATATATATGGATACGAGTCCTGGAGGATTTAAATCACTTCTTATCAGTTATTTTGGTCTTTTTTCTATTTGGTTTTCAGAGGTGAAGTGAATTAAATAATCTAAACTTTTTTGGGGATATGATTATGTAGTGATTGATTAGTTGCACTGTGTGCAAAGAAAGACTCAAATACAGTACAATGAAAGCAACACAAAGTTATAATATGCTCAAGTTCAAATAACCATATAACTTTACTTAGTTACTTTGTTCATATCTGCCCAAAATATGAGAAATACTAATTCCTACAAGGATATTAATAGATGTTAAACTACCACCACAGCTAACTTATAACACAGCATGTACAATGCAACTGATTATATTGAAATGGGAAAAAAAATCGTAAGAGTTGAGTCAATGGGGAGCTCTCTGAAAATTCTGCCAGCCCCGGGGGCAGGTCTGATACAGAAAACGCCAGGCTCTTGAATCTGTTCTGACAGACACAGCACAGTGCTTTTTTGTTGTTATGTCTGTTGCTGTTGTTTCTGTGGATAAGGACAGAGTGGCTTGCTTTCACGTCTTTCTATCTCCTTCTCCATTTCTGTTTTTCACATTGTAAGCAGGAAACCAAGAATAAGCCCATGTGAGTGCATGCGTGTGTCTGTGAGTGTGTACAGTACTAACGACTGAACCTGAACTTGGGACCTCAGAAATACTAGGCAAGTAAGTATTCCACCATTGAGCCAAATCACCAGCCTTTTCTTCTTTAAATCCACTTTTAATTTTGAGACAGAGTTTACCTATGTGGCCCAAGCAGGCCTTGAACTTGCAATTCTCTTGAATCACTCTCTCAAGGACTTGGGATTACAGGCCTGAGCCACACACCCAACTAACAATAATGTTTTAAAGCTCAATTATAGCAATGATGACAGATAACATCAGTAGCATTTTTTTTGGTTTCAATAATTCTATTTCATGTCTATTTTAAACTACTGTGCTGTTTTCATTTAACCATCTTCCTTCTCATTGGATATATACAGTCATATTTTTAAACTATTCACACCCACTTTACATAAGGCAAAGCATAATAATAGATGAAATCAACTGAGCTAGCTCATGGAAGCAGCTCTCACAGATTAAGGATCATTTAACCTCAATAGCTCTTGGCAGGCACTTGTTTCCCAATAGGGACAAGAAGAAGTGAACTTGAAGTAAACTCAAAGCAAAATTAATAAATGTTTGACCAGATTGGACGTTCCTCCTCTAGGAACTAAGATGACAGGGTTGAGACCTCAGGAGAAGCATGGTGCTGTATAGGGCACTAGGCGGAGCATGGTACTGAGAGCTAAGAGTGGACTTACTCTCCTAATGAACAAAGAAAGAGGGCACAGTTACCGGAGACCACTCCTGTGCCAGCCATTTAGGGCAGTCAAAAATGTTGCAGGGCTGCACGATGGGCATCTTAGGGGTGTACATGCATTTCCACTCTTCCACTGAAGTGACATGCCCCTGGATGTCCTCCTCCACACAGGAAACTGCCCGGCTCTGGATGCCCCCCCCACACGAGGAGGAGCACGCGGTCCATGGGGTGGCCTCCCACCTACAGAAGCAAGGGGAGTCATCAGGGCGGACGTGCAAATTGCCAAACCTCCTTAGTGACTTGTCACACCAACCCCATGCCCTGGGCCGATCATTGTTTCTCCAGAGAACCAAAGCTCTATAAACTGAAATTTCATCAGGAGGCAAAATTCATCCTCAGCAAGAATGTTTCATAAGCCTCAAATCTCAGCACAGATACAGGAGATTACATCCTGGGGAGCAATCCACCAGATGTCTGGGCTGTCTGTCACCTCTCTGCAATGGAGATTCAATCTGCAGTCCTCTTTCTGTAATTTCTGCTTATATATGCTTATATATATATGTACATATACTTATATATGTATTGAGGTTTAGTTACTCTGCACTAAGTATTTCTGTGAAATCTAAAACTGAAATAAGCAACCAATACAAATGTTTTCCATTTGGGTGAATACTTTTATCTTTGTTTTGCTTTATCACTTCTGATTTTTTTTTTTTAGATAGGAGACACAATAGCTCTTTCTCCCTCCCTTCTGCAACTATCAGGCCCAGAATTCCACATACTCAGCACAAGCTGGGTGATTAAACTCTGCTGAGTGTGTGTAAGTTCAGGAACAGAGTGTCGATAACAGTATTATTCTCTAGTGGGTGACAGACCCACAGATGTCCTCTAGTAAGGAACTCCTTCACTTGTAAACATGCTTAGTTTCAGTCGAAAGGCTTATGGCAACTGGCTGGAGATATGCTGTTAAGTTAAGGTAGAAAATAACAAGATTGCCAATGCTGCCTTAGAGAATTTAATCTCTCTTGGTTCCTTGCTTCCTTCCTTGCTTCCTTGCTTCCTTGGTTCCTTGCTTCCTTCCTTGCTTCCTTCCTTCCTTGCTTCCTTGCTTCCTTCCTTCCTTCCTTCCTTCCTTCCTTCCTTCCTTCCTTCCTTCCTTCCTTCCTGTTTTGTAGCAATCGGGACCAGATCTTTACCTAATTCTTTTCTCGCCTCCTGTAGATTTAGACATGTGGAACTCATGTTCACAGCAGCATGGCACTGAGTGAGCCATGCTTGTTTCTTACATGCATTTTGATAGTTAGGAGCTCTCAAAGAATCATGGGTGATCTCATTTTTAATGGAAAAGAACCAAAACATCCCTGAGTTGACGCACCTGAACAGCTACTTTTAAGTATTGCATGGGCAGCAGGCAGTCATGGAGACTAAATTACTCTGTAAGCAAGTTTCACATATGCTATGGGCTTGGTTTCTCTTCTACAGGAGCCAGAATAATACCGTGTGCTTCCTATGCTAGAGGACTTTCTGCTACATTTTGTCTGTACTGTTCAGGTTTAGGCACACCATTGTCTTCACTGCCAACAGCCATGCTATGCTGCCAAATGCAGTATTTTTCCCCAAAAGACACATAAAAATGTCACTATGGGGAAACTGAGGTCCTCTAACACTTAGGAGACTGAATAAAAGTTATTTTAAGGGAATAAAGGGACTCAGCAGAGTCCTCCTTGCAAAAGGATAAAACAACTCTGTTTGCCTTCAGGTGAATCCCTGCATGACTTCCAGGGGTGGAGAACAGGCCTGGCTCAGACTGAAGATGGGTGAATATGTAAGTATATATTCATGCTGCATTTAATCTGATAGTGAAGCAGCAATATTTTAATGGATGTTTAATCACCTAGATGATTGCGGTTCTATAGGGGAAACAATTTCTAATTGGCACTCTAAAACCTGGACATTTTACCTCTCTTGAAAGGGAGAATGATTAATCTCTGTCTCAACACTTGCCTTGACCATGCAATTTCACTAATGAATGTAGGCACTCTTCTCAGCGTCACAGATCACAGCAAGATAGATGAGGATAATACTGTTTTGTAGATTCATACCGTGAACAAATTCAGGTCTATGTGTGAAGTAGTGTGCTGTGGCTCCTCGTGGAATAATGAGGCCATAGGGAATTTTAAAACACAGCATATTTAGGCATGTTCAAGTCTAACAAAGGATGGGAGATGACATTCTTTTGTCCAGATATATTAAAACTGTGACCAGGGTGAATACTGCAAAGAAAAATACATCAAAAAATCTTGTCCTAGAAGAATACTAAATAAATTTACATATCATATATTTACATGCACTTGTATTTTAATTACCTTAAACCTACAACATGCTTAGTTGAAGAATTTTTCAAAATTAAAAAGAATGTAGCCAAAGAGACATGAAGGAGCTCAGTGTCAATTAGTTCATTATACTTACATTGAGATTTATACTAAGTCAAAGACAGAGAACAAGAAAAGAACCTAAAATGCATTAGTTGTGTACTGTATGTATACTTGTCTGAAGCCTATTTAAATGTTTTAGAGTAAAGTTTTCTGCTTCACTTATCAAGGCATTGCTATTGAAGAACTATCTGAGCTTAAATTTTGTTAAATGGAAACACATTTATAGAACTAGCTGCCACTCACTAGAACTTTGTCAGTGAAGCCGACTTTGTATCTTTAGTACTACAGGAAAGCAGAAGTGTAAGGGCCAAGATATGCAGTCTGTTTGCTAACTGAATTGTCCTTTCCTGCTGGAATGCTTAGACACATCAAAGAAGTAATCAGGACACACGGTGCAAAAACCAGCAAGTGGGACTGTAGGTATGAGGCAGCACCAGCTTAGACACTTGAGGGAAGTCTCATTATATAATAAGTCAAGGCCACCATATGAAAGGTATTACTTGCACCAGAAAAAAAATAAACAAGAAAAATCACAGAAGATGACAGGAATCTAGAGATTTCCTGATAGGAGAAACAGACACTCAAGGTTGATTACATCGGCACTCAACTTTACCTTTATTTTAAAATACATGACTTTCCTCCGTACAAACAAAGCATGTGTGCTAGGAATACTTAACTTCACAGACACAGAAACAGAAATCAAGGGAAATCTTGGCTTAAAACTATACTTATCTTTTTATTTCTTTCAGTACATTATCAAGGAGAAGACTTCTGGAAAAAGGCATTTAAGGGGAATTCTGAGGTGACTTACTATCTTTATTAGTACAATTATAGCAAGGTGGGAGCCGGCTGAATGGTGAGGAAGCCATTTAGGGACACATTTTGCAATAATTATATCTAGTGTCAATCAATCTCCCTTTGCACATGGCTACCAGGATAGCAGCAAGACAGTCTCCTGCCAGTCACTGGAAATTTTTAACTAGATACTGGACAACATGTAAATACCTGTATGCATTTATACATTTGTGAATACATGCACAGAACACACTAATTCATATTTGTGTGAACATGCATGTTTACTTATCTATGTTGTGGGTGTGATCACTGAGCTAGGGCTATGAGAATGATGTATCACTGGAGAGTTGGATTAATTAGCATCCAATTAGATTCTAATACATTAAGAATTCAGAAACTATCAATTAAACCTACTGAATTTTGCTGTTCGAAACACAATCATTTGTCTGCATGTTTTAGATTAGGATTTAGCAAACTGCTATAGATTATGTTAACTGCTTATGGTCTCATAGGAACCCAGGACTCTAGACAGCAGCTGACTCCCTAGGGGGCAAATTAGTAAAGAAAACAGCAAAGCTATTTAAAACTAATCCTATTTTTTGCTACCTGCAGAGCTATTTCCGGGCAAGCAATACAACTGGCAACTAGCACATTTCTGAGCAACCCCAGTTTTCTCTCAAATATAAAGATAAAAAGTCCTTTAAAACTATTTGAATAACCCTTTTCCTAGTTTTTAAAATATTATACTTTAACAAAACAGCATAGCAATTACCTTTAATTAATTATAATTCTTCAAAAATAAAGGAAGAGCACATGAGGCCCCTATTAGAATAATTCCATGCCTGGACTTTCATATTCATGGTGCTGTGACGGCACGTCAGTGTTTGTTAGCCGTGGCTCTGTAGCGACCTGGCTCTTCCTACCCAGAGAAGCCAGAGAGGCAGTGAAAATGGAGTGAGAGAAAGACACAGCATAAACCGACACACTGTAGCTAATTAGAGGGAGTTACTGTGTCCACTCCAATGAAAGGTGACTAACAAAATGGTTTCAGAAAGACAAGTGTACACTCTGAGCAGGCCAGGATTTTTCAAGAGGAGTGCTCAGAATGGATTTGAAAAATCTACCACCTACCATCTTATTTGTAGAAAAACACAGACTCTACAGCTCTACATTTTTACACAAACCCACTACAGCATCAGAAGAGTGGCGTGCTAGTTCTAACATCAGGATGATTGATTTACGTACCGAGGAAGGGGATGGTAGAGGTCATAAGGCATGATCTGCTTGTATCCGTCACTGTTAGGAACAATAATGCCAACCCTCTGAGTAGAAGGTACACACAATAAATAAACACTAAATGATTACATCATACACATTTTTATACAATTGCAAAACAACATTAATAAATCATCTCTGAAAACAACACTAAAGCAATTTTATCTTTATGCTAGTGTGTGCTGTGGGCTGGGGAAAGCTCTTAGAAGACACTATTTTCTATAATTAGTCCTCTGATCCAAGCAGGAAATATCACTGGAAAGGGAGGTGGTGAGAAATCTTGGCACCTCATCGTTAAGTATATGGCACAAAAAGCTTGTAAATGTTCTTTAATCCCCCCAATTATCCATCCTATGAGATCATTATTATCATCATTATTAATGTTACTTCCAGATGCCCATCGAGCAGTTACAGTTATTGTCTCACTTTTGATGAAAGAGAAAGCATGTAAGCAGGAGGTTATGGGCCGCAGAACTGACAAGACTGTAACATGCATCAGCAAATAGGCTTCCATTTCTGGCAGATCTAAAGATTTACAATACCTGGAGAGTAGCCACTTGGATGTTTTATAAAGGGGAGGGAGGAACTACCAAATGTTATAAGCAATGGTTTTAGCAAGAGCAAATGCCCTATCAAAATGAAGTAATGAAACTGTTCACAAATATGAAAGGTTGTTTTGTCTATAAAATATTGTACCGGGATAACCACTTTATCATGACTCTTATGGCTGCAATTAGTTCCCTGGGAAACCTACGTGGTTCAGAGACAGAGTAATGGCTAAAGAGTTACGAGAAAGGGCATTACATGCTGTGTGGCTGAGGGTGCACAAGAAAGGACAGCACGGGCTGTGTTGACGGTCTTCAGGTCTCCAGTGAACCGTATTACCCACTTTCTTGATTTCAACTAATGCCTCCCATTGGTAAGACTGGGTCATTGCTGAAGACTGGCCCCTGGATGGTGAACGTTTTCTTATACTTAGGCTGTTGAAGAAGAGTGCTAGAGCAGCAGGGCCTCCTTCAAGAGTGGGATATGAAGAATGCTCATGTAGATACAGAGCATGGAAGGGCACACGGAAGACAGTTCATTTCATATGACCTGTGCTAGGGAGTCCCTCTCATGAACATTAAAGGGATCTGTGCATTCTGCTTGCATCTTTGGGATACGTGCATGTATATATACATATATATATATATATGTGTGTGTATACATATATATTTACATATCTATACAATAATTAACATATATTCAGCATGTTTATACTTACATAAATAGATTTCCTTTATTACCCCATCAATTAACATGAGATGGTATCATACTTTTAAAAATATAGGCAACAAATCTATTTGAGTAGAAAGATTGGGTTGAGCTTACTATGGATCAGATTGACAAAAAACATTGACTGAAAATTACAAAAAGAAAGAAAGGAAAATAAAACTGGCTGTAAGACTCTAAAGATAAGGAGACATATGAAGGAGTCTAGATGGATTTCAGAGAAGATAGGAACAGAGTTGTGAAGACAGACTCCCCAGGATGGAATGCTTGTTCACTTATTTACTTTACAGAAGTATATCTTACATTAAATAAGCACATTTTCCGTATTATTTTTTGACTGCTTACCAGTCTTCTTCTGATAAAATTGTCCTGATCTGTAAACGAGTGAGCACTGTGTATGTTAGTCTTATGCCACAATGCTCATGACAAGTGATGCTGCTGTGGGTGCTCAGAGTTCAAGGATCTTTAACACAGCCATGAAAGAAATGGTCATCATGTTAAATTGTTGTCCCTACTTTTGGAGTTTAATGTCCCATTCTTTTCTGTCTTTCGATAAAATCTTAATCCTGGCTTCTGTTAGGAACATAGGAATCCCTTTTAAAATAATTTTTGTGTATGGTAATTAAGAGAGTTTTCCTTTTAAAATGATGGCATTTTAAAGTATGCCAATGTCTCAAAATTCTTTTTAAAACTTTGGATATAAACTGCTATTTAATAGAAGTGAATTATACTATAAATCAAATAGATTGAAATTAGGTTTTATCTGACCCTTGTATCTATTCATTTCTATATCAATTTCTAAATGCGGAAATGCATACCATTGCCTTCTCCCCTGGAAAATTTATGGCTTCAATTTGTCATCTTTAATATGAGAATGAACTGTTGCAAGTTTCTGTCAACTGATTTATCAGCTGATGATATTTTGAATGGATACACTAACATTGAAGAAGACAAGTTGAACTGAAGAAAGGGCATAAATGGAGGGAATACAGAAATGTCGAGACTTTGGACTTTGCTTTGGGTTGATTTAGAAATCATGTTTGTGTTTGAACAAGAAGCTTAAACCTGGTTCCTGCAAAACTATAGTTCTATTTGTCTTTCTTTGGCATGGGTCATGGTGAAGAGTCATAAAATGACTCTGTGGCACCTGTGAAAACAGAAAGATGGCAGAACAATGGCGCTCTGTCCAGCCCTCCAAATGCATATCGTGAGCTTTGGCTTTGCTCCCTCTTGGGACTCTGGCCACAGCCCTGCTCTTTGCCTGCACTGTGATGGACTGGAAGGCAAGCATTGCTTACCTTTGAGACACATTGTTTTTGTTCTCAGGTAGAGTGTACAACGTGAAGGATGGTGGGAAGGGAAGCCATTAAGGGACTCGATGAAAGTCTCTCCAGGTTTGGGTCTAGACGTGAGTATTGCGTGCATACATTCAGACATGTCTCTGAATGCATAGACAGCAGAGAAGGAAGTGAGCATGACTTTAAAAACTATCACAAAGAGACAACAAAAAGGCAAACTACCTGTTCTCCTTTGCTTCAATAACCCTGATCACTTGTGTATTTTCACAAAGGAAGTGACTTGACTCTATCTAAAACTCTCATTGCAAGGAGGCTGAGAGCAGAAGTTGAGGGTAAGAAAGGGAGAGAGCACCTCCCATCTCATCTACCTGAATCACAGCTTACTCAGCTATGCTATGGTGCTATGATAGGTTCTTATAATGGACTATTATACAGGACATAAACATACAAAACACTCAGCCAATTTTAATAGTTTAGTAACTGAAAAATAAGTATAAAATAGAATATGTCATTAAGCTCATGACATTAGAAAAGTTATATATTTACATTTCATCTATAGAATAATTTTCATCTTGTATGTGTTCACAGAAGTACACAAGTACATATGTAAGTACAAATGTGTATATACATGTGTATGTATATGGATTCTCACACATACAGTAGAGAAATACTTAACAACAGTGGTTGGTTCCTGGGAGCTGGATACTTTTTTCCTTGATGTAAAAAACATCTTTCTGTGTTTGCAGGTCTTAAAATAACATATTGCCTCTAACAAGTTTATCAATTAAATACTGAAATAAAGTGAAATTTAAGTTGCAAAAAATGGTGAGACGGAGGCATTTGACACACATGGGTTAAATGAGGCCATCATCTCCAATTCTGTGTGCCACCTAAAGGTCACTGAGGATTTGTGGAGGAATGATCTAAGATGCATCTTCTGAACGATAGCCAAGATCAGGGTCACACACATTCCTCAGCCGTGGAATTCACATACTGTGATAAATCTCTCCTTTCAAGAAAAATCCAAATGTAGTTCACTCCACGGACCCTTAACACATGAGGTTATTTTCGTGATAGAGATGAACCAGAAGGGGCTCATTGTGGTGAATCTCTAAGGACCTCTTGCCTCCTCTCACTAAACATCCTCTTCCTGGTTTTTTGGTGGCTACATGGAGTCCAAGGTCTGAGACCAGTCAATCCCACTACTTGCTATCTTCCATTGCAAACTGTTTCTCTTGTGTCTGCTGTCTCTGTCTCATGTAGGTTAAAGACATCACGTTGCTTCATCACTTTGTAACTCAACCCACCCTGGGCAGTATTGGGTCCCAGACTTTTGCTGACTTGTCTGACTACTCTTTGCCTTTCTCATGGTACCAAAAATTAATTAATAGAAATCACCTTCTTCCTAAACAGCACTGCAGAGAATTAGGAAATGTTGAAAGAGACCCCAGTATTTTGCTTTTGCCTAAGAGGCAGAACATAGAGGATCAGGGTCCAGTGAGGGGAGGACCACTCAAAAAAATGTGAGGTTGAATGTCAGTGTTCTTGCTCAATGTATAAAACCTTGAGTACCAGACATCTTTACCTTTGCTTCTACCTTATGAAAATCCAAGTGGTGGACAACTCATGAGTTTTAAGATGAAGAGAGTGGAAGGCCATGAACTCAGGCTTGTGGAATTTATCTTACTTTCCCCTACCTAGTGACTGCTGAGCCCCCAGCCTGATAACCTCTAAGATGATTATCTACAAAGTCTTTCTCCTCCAACACCTGTCAATGTCCTAAAACAATGAATGTCCTTAACACAGAGTCAAGTTGGAATCAGCTGGGAAAATTTTTTATATAGTGGTCCTGATTTTTTCTAAAACTACAATAATGCCAAATCAATTAATTATACCTGGGTTGCAAGGGAACCAGCCTCAAGAATCTGGATTCACTAACATGACTAGAATTTATTTTTCAGACAAAAGTTCATTTTCTACTATAAAACAAATTACAGAGCGTTTTGACACCTTAGATTAAATGATAAGAGTTTTCTGCATGTCTACATTTCTGGCATATCTTTTTGACATTAATGAATGCCATTTCTGTATTACTTTTCAATGAGCAGGACTGTTGTTTCCTTAGGATTTATTTTCCTCTACTGGTGTATACCCCAAACAGTGATTTGAATGAACATCAATACTTGTGATTACATGGAAGATGCTTGCTTTATCTGCATTTCTGCTCAAATGCATAAACTTATGTTGATATGGTTCTATGTTGCGTTGGAATCAGACCTCCCAGTCTGCTGATGGCAACGTGAGGACAGGGTGACTATGGGTTGCATTTCTGTAAGGTGAGGGACAATTCGGTACTGGAAGCATTTAGATCCATGCCCCAGCTTGCTTTGATGGAGCCTCACCTGAGAATGCTGCAATACCCTCTCTGGCCTCTTAACTCCACAGGGAACT